ATGCTATTAGATGAGATTTGAAAATGGTGGGAGGTGATGACATATATAGTTCATCAAATGTATTTTGACCAACCAGTAAATGTTTCATGTTTCTTCCAGCTGTACCATCTTTTCCATTTGAAGAGGAGTCAAGACCTCGTGCACCATCTGCCAAAGCAGCTATTCCTCCCCCGGTATATGATGAGCCAGAAAGACCGCGGTCCCCAACCGGGCCTAGTAATTCTTTCCTTGCTAACATGGGGTAAATATCATTCACAAGTTAACATTTCATGAGAAGTGCCTCGCGGGGGGGGAAGGATGAAAGTTAAAAATGTTGTGTCGGTGTTGAGAAGAACACACCGTCTTTGCATGTATATTCTTCACTGTAATAACTTAATCTGAATGCATACATGCCCACCCAGCAGGACGTGGAGTACACAATGGTTTTGTGTGAATTGGGCCAATGAGTTTGAGGAGGAATGGCCAGTTTTTAGTGAGTTCTGGAGCCCTCTCCCGTATAAAGGTGTATGGTTTGCCCATGCCAAGCTGGTGTGGCCAATTTGTAAGTACGTATGGCTAGTTCAAGACCCCGAATGCTTTTTCCTGCTTTTGTCAGAGGTGTGTTGTGTGTAACCTTGAGCAAATCACTGACTTGTTTTCAGAGGCATTGAGCATCTCAACTCTGTTTGAAGTTAGTGGCAGCTGTGGGTGCCACACCCTTACCCACTCTGTGCCTCCCTTTACTCTTCTGTAAAAATGCTTATAATTCCACCTAGGGGAATATAGCAAGGCTTAATTAATGTTTATAAAGTGCTTGGAGACCTCAGCTGAAAGGTGTAATATTTATTTGTGATAACTATGGTTATATTAAACTCTACACATGTTAATTTTTGTGTAACTGCAGGATAATTACAGTACTAGCACTCACAAGAGTCACAGCCAAGAAAGTGTACAAGTATTTTATAGGTTTCAGAGTGTTAGTCTATATTAGCAAAAACAAAGAGGAGTCCTTATGGCACCTTAGAGACTAACAAATTTATTTGGGCATAAGCTTTCGTGGGCTAAAACCCCTTGGGCTTATGCCCAAATAAATATGTTAGTCTCTAAGGTGCCACAAGTATTTTATAGAATACTTATAGCTCACTTTTTCTATATTTATATACTTGGTTTCTTATGCAGTTTTTCTAATAAGGTTTTTTCATACCATCTGAAAAAGGATTTCCCCAATCTATTGAGTCAGACCTACTTATTTTATCTGGTTAGGATTGTCTGGAGACCTTATCTTGAATCAGTGATCTGGAGCTACCAAGTACTTTTAATGTACTATATTGGTATTTGACTGTATTGTGTATTTGAGAAATAGCTAAATGGTCACTGATCTTTCATTTCTCTTTATAATCTTTCATTCCTATCAAGTAAAAAAAAAATCTTTTCAGAGAGTGGGATCTTTATACTATGGTACAGTATAAACTTCTGTAGTCTTGTAAGGCCTGTCACATCTTGACCCATCCATTCATGATCTGCAAATGAAATGTTTTAAAGACATAACACAAGTTGTGTTTTGAAAAGGCCCATACTTGTTTGGTTGTGTAGCGAACTGTTGACTCACAATTTCTTTCATGGAAAATTAAAAGGTGGAAAAATCAAGACCAAATACAAGGAAATACTTTTTCATACAACATGTAATTAAACAGTGGAACTCATTGCCACAGGATGTCATTAAGACAAAGAACAAGATTCAGAAAGGGGTTGGACATTAATGGGTATTGAGAATATCCTGAGTTGTCCTTATGATAATAGTTTTGTGAAAGGGCTATTGAGCTTCAGGACCTAAGCCTATCTGTGACCTAATATGGGGGACAGATTGCCCCACATCTGCTACTGTGGAGTTCTTATGTTTTCCTCTGAAGCGTCTCATGGTGGGCACTGTCAGAGACAAGATACTGGAGTAGCTGGTCCTTGAGTCTGATCCATGCTGGCAGTTCTTGTGGTCCTATGGAATCTGTGACACTGATGTTCGTTGCTAATGAAAATCATGCTATACCTAACAAATGTGAGCAGCTTTATTCAGTGATTGAAGTGTCTGTGTCCCTATCTGTAATACGGGGATGATAATAATTAGTCAGCTTTGTAAAGTGCTGTCAATTTGTAGGTGTTATAAGCTCCTATATAAGTTCTTATAGTCGATCTGCATGTAATAAGATTTTAGGGGTTAGACTATTTTCTATGTTCTCTTAAATATTATGGCAACACTAAACTAAGACATGGGTTGTAAGCTCCTTGGCAGAGCAGCTGGAGATACCATCTGCACACAACAGTTGGTATTGCGTGGCGGTTTCTGGAACTTGCTTATCGCAAGGGCCTATGCTGAGTTCCTTGAGCACTAAGATGAAATGTGTTGACAGTGCTGCTTAAGAAATGAAATGAGTGGTTGACAACCAGTCCTTTCTCTCTCAACAGAGGCACCGTCGCTCATAAAATCATGCAGAAGTATGGTTTCCGAGAGGGCCAAGGACTGGGGAAGCACGAACAAGGCCTAAGCACAGCACTGTCAGTAGAGAAAACAAGCAAGAGAGGTGGAAAGATCATTGTTGGTGATGCTGCAGATAAAGGTAACTGGATTCCATTCCGTTGGAAGTGGGAAGCTGTTCACCTTGACGGTTTCTGAGAAGGGAACAGGAGTGGAATTAGGGGTCGGTCTCAGCGGTGGCTTTTCTTGTTTTGTTTACCCTGTATCTTTGTACACAACGTCGACGAGTTGTGGAACATTGACGACTGGTGACAGTTTTCTTTGTGGACGTTGAAGAATTTAAGTGTTAACAATTGCGCTGGGCCCTACTGCTTTAAATGTTCAGCTCTTCATCCTCTTCCCCACCACCCTCTCCAGCTCCATCCTGTGCCTTTCCTCGGTGTGGTCAGGCACCTCCCCTCCCCCCATTTCATCTCCCTGTTAAAATGTGCTCCCTGCACAAGCAGGTTTCCTTCTCAGCAGGCATCTTTGATGCAGCCCTCTTGTTCGCTGCCGCTTTCCAGCCCAAAGCTCAGGTCAAGAGGGGAGCTCCCTGTGAGCACAGCCCAAGCATGGAGGAGGGGTGCCAGGGGTGGAGTGAGTTGGGACACAATCCATGTAAAAGTCATCCTCCTCTCTACTGTAACAGCCTCACTTAACGGCCCTTCAAACCAGCCATCTTCCAGGTTATCACCACTGGGAAATTAAGAGGTAAATGTAATGTGCAAAGGCTACTGCACATTTGTAAATGCTGGTTTTTGTTCTGATTTCCTTCTCCTTCAGTTGTTTCCGGGTAACACTTTATAGCAGGGGTGGGCAAGCTTTTTGGCCTGAGGGCCACATCGGGGTTCTGAAACTGTATGGAGGGATGGGTAGGGAAGGCTGTGCCTCCCCGAACAGCCTGGCCCCTGCCCCCTATCCGCCCCCTCCCACTTCCTGCCCCACTCAGAACCCCTGACCCATCCAACCCCCCCACTCCTTGTCCCCCTGACAGACGCCTCCTGGAACCCCCGCCCCCAACTGCTCCCCTTTCCAAGCCGCCCGCCCCTGCCTCCCTGTCCCC